AAAACACAGAAAGTAGTTTCAGAATTGCTACTCCGGGCTGGGGGCAGTGGCTCCCACCTGTAATCCTAGCACTTTGGGAGGCCAAGGCAGGAAGACCTCTTGAATCTAGGAGGTCAAGAGCAACCTAGGCAACATAAGGAGACCTCGTCTCTCTACAAAAGAAAAAATTTTTTGAGACAGAGTCTCGCTCTGTCACCCATGCTGGAGTGCAGTGGCTCAGGCTCAGCTCACTGCAACTTCCACCTTCCAGGTTCAAGTGATTCTCCTGTCTCAGCCTCCCAAATAGGTGGGACTACAGGTGCACGCCACCATGCCTGGCTAATTTTTTGTATTTTTAGTAGAGATGGGTGTTCACCGTGTTAGCCAAGATGGTCTCGATCGCCTGACCTCTTGATCCACCCACCTCAGCCTCCCAAAGTGCTGGGATTACAGGCGTGAGCCACCGCGCCCGCCCTGCAAAAAGTTTTTAGAAATTAGCTGGGTGTGGTGGTGCACCCCCATGGTCTCAGCTGCTTGGAAGGCTGACATGCGAGGATCACTTGAGCCTGGGGAATCTAGGCTGTAGTGAGCCACGATCGTGCCACTGCACTCCAGCCTCAGCAACAAAGCAAGACCTTATCTCAAGAAAAAAAAAAAAAGAAAGAAAGAATTGCTAATTTTTCCATTATGAAACCACAAACCTACCAACTGCAGTTCAACATTTGTTATCAAATTTTGTCTTTAGATTGAGAATATATAGAAAATACTGTGTTTTAAATTCTTCAGCCAGGCATGGTGGCATGTGCCTACAGTCCCAGCTACTTTGAAGGCTGAGGCAGGAGAATCGCTGGAACCCAGAAGCCGGAGGTTGCAGTGAGCTGAGATTGTGCCATTGCACTCCAGCCTGGGCAACAGAGCAAGATCTAAAGATAGATAGATAGATAGAATAAAACTGCATAGATAGGCAGGTAGATAGATAAATAAAATCTCTGGAATGATAGAGTAACAGGGATGGATTTATTCTTTCTCCTTAAGTGGAAAGCTGGACACGGCACATGGACCGACTGTTCAGTCTCAGACATTTCCCTGAGGGGAGGGAAGCGAGTGGGGAGGTGAGCCTCCCTGGCTTTCCATCCAGAAGCAGTTTCTGGAGCAAGTTTAGAGAGGAACAGTTCAAGTACAGCTTGGAAGTTCCTGCTTGGTAGAGGGGACAAATTGGAACTGGGGGAAGCTGAGGCAGCTGGGATTGGCAGGGTGGGGTGTGAGAGAAGAGAGAGCTTAACAGAAACAGGTCCTGAAACCACATAGGCGTCCCACAGTCTTTGCTTGAATACTAAACTGTGCATGTACCGGAGAGCTGTTAGCTGAATGAGTCGCAGCAGTCGCCCAAGGGTGGGACGCTTCTGAGTTCCTACCAGCAAGAAGAATGGAACCTTTCTGAGGTTGGGCACGGTGGCTCACCTGTAATCCCAGCACTTTGGGAGGCCACAGCAGGCAGATGACTTGAGGTCAGGAGTTCGATACTAGCCTGGCCAACATGGTGAAACCCCACCCCTACTAAAAACGCAAACAAGTAGCCAGGCGTGGTGGTGGGCACCTGTAGTCCCAGCTATTCAGGAGGCTGAGGTGGGAGGAACCTGGGAGGGCGAGGCTGCAGTGAGCCAACAGCCTGGGTGGCAGACTGAGACTCTCTATTAAAACAAAACAAAACCCTGTTGAACACCCAGGTGTTCACTAGAGGTGCCAGAGATACTGAACTATGCCACCTCTAGAAGTGCCAAAAACGCATCATGACAAGATCCAGCAGATTGACGAGTCAGCTTTCTGCCCCCCCCAGACACTCAAGACTGTAAAAGACAGTGACAAAGTCAAGACAAGCACCATGACACTGAAATGCCCACCACCCAATCTAGAATTACTAGATATGCCAAGAGCCAGGAAAATGCGACCCATAACCTAGAGGAAAATAAGTCTGTACAAAACAGACGCAGAAATGACAGAGGTGAAGGAATTTGCAGACAAGGGTGTTCAGACACCAATTATGCATGTGTGTAAAGATTCAGAGTAAAACATTGCAGAGAGAAATGGGTGTTAGAGAAAAGAATCGAGTGAATTAAAGCTGAAATGCAGTATCAGGAATGCAAAATTACTTGTTGGGCCGAATGCCAGATTAGGCTTTGCAGAAGTTCAGTGAGTTTGTGATTATAACAATGGAAACTGTGTGAACCGAAGCACCGAAAGAAAAACATGAGAAGGGCCTCAGCAAACTGAGAGACAAGGTCAGAGATTCTAATATGCCTGTGATTGGAATCCTGGTAAGAGGCTGTGGGTGGGCAGAAGAGATTTCAAAATTAATGCCCCTGAATTTCACAGATTTGATGAAAAGTGATAAACCTACAGGTACAAGTAGCTCGGTAAACCTCAAGCAGGATCAACGCAAAGGAAAAAGGGCAGCGGGCCCAGCACTAACCAGGGCAAAATCAGGCTAGAGCTGAGCCTCAGTTTACCCGAGGCACGTGCATTGGGGGCTTAGGGTGTTGGTGCTGAAGCTTAGTTTTCCTCTCGGGGTTGCAGTGACTTCGTCTCACTGCAGGGTCCTCCCTGAGACTGCCTTTGCTGCAGACACCAGCCACACATTTGGGGCCCTTGGGACCACCTTCACTTCCAGCCAGCAGGTGACGGTTCAGGATCTGCCCTCAGCAGCTCAGCTGGCAGGTTCGCAGTACTCACTGAGCGTGCCCTAACGCGATTAGTCACTTCGAGGAAAGGATGCACATTAGAAGGACGTGCAGGGCAAAGCCTGGGAGGTTCCGTGTGCAGAGCCTCCCGTCCTCAGGGACGCGGGATGCTCCTTGGTACTACTGCCAGCCCAGGACGCTCACTCTGGCTGTGGTGTCCAGTTTTGTTGGGGCTTCATTGCATGGGCACAGTTGTCTGAATCACCGGCCGTGTGGCTGAGCTCAGCCTCCAGCCCCTCACCTCCCAGGAGGTCGGTGGGTTCACCAGGCACATAGCTCAGGCCGTCTTCCTGGTGTGGCCAGCCCCTTGTTGAGTCATCTTGCTAGCGATGAGATTGGTGTGGCCTTGTGATGCCAGTCATTCCGTCACTCAGAAACCAGCGTGTAGAGGGAGCTTCCTGGAACTGGGCCAGAGGCCACCAAATCCTACCAAGTCAGTCAGTATCTAAACTTGATAAATCCAGAAGTTGTAGAAATGTATTATTTAGAAATATAGAGGCCATGCACAGTGGCTCACACTTGTAATCCCGGCACTTTGGGAGGCCAAGGCAGGCGGATCGCTTGAGCCCAGGAGTTCAAGACCAGCCTGGCCAACGTGGCAAGACTCTTGTCTCTACAAAAAAATACAAAAATTAGGCATGGTGGCCTGTAGTCCCAGATACTCATGAGGCTGAGGTGGGAGGATCACTTGAGTCCAGGAGGTTGAGGCTGCAGTGAGTCAGGATCACACCACTGCACTCCAGCCTGGATGACAAAAAACGTGTGTGTGTGTGTGTGTGTGTGTGTGTGTGTGTGTGTGTGTGTGTGTATGTATATGTAGTGTGTGTGTGTGTGTAGTGTGTATGTAATATGTGTGTGTGTAGTGTGTGTGTATATGTAGTGTGTGTAGTGTATGTAGTGTGTGTGTATATGTAGTGTGTGTAGTGTGTGTGTGTATGTGGTGTGTGCGTGTGTGTGTGTGTGTGTGTGTCTGTGTGTCTGTGTGTATGCAGACGTAGAAAAGCCTCCTGTAACATAAGTGGTGTCGTATCCTGGCACTTGGCTCCCTGCGTGGATTTGTACTCTGATTTTTTTATTTGCTGTCCTCTCTTCCCCCCAACCCCACCATCCCTATCAGAGGTGAACAGAGCCTGATGGCTTTGAAGGTGTGTTGCGGCCAAGGGTGTGAGCATTGCCCATGACTCTCTGGGGAATGGGGTTCTGACCTTGGCACCTCCTGATGGAATGCTCTTCCTGGAATGGGTGTAAGAACACAGGCGCAGGGACACACACAGACACACACACATCCACATGCAGATAACACACCTCCATACATGGACACACGCAGGTACGGATTCACAGAGATGTATGCAGACGCACACGCCCAGCGCTGAGGACTGTGACACCCCTGGATATGGGCATGCTGACGGCACCGGCATCCAGGATCCTTTTGGAAAGGCACACACAGCAGTGCCGCGGTGGGTGGTCAGGGGCCTCGTGGCTGCTTCCCTGCCCAGCGCACATTCTGTGTGACAGCAGGACTTCAACAGTTACATCTGTTTTCATTTCCTGAAGTGCGGTGTGAGTTAATCAGGTACTTGGAATTGCATTATTAGCAGGTCCACAACATTTTCTTTCTTATACTTCTTTGTGAACGTTTTATGTATTTAAATGAACCCTTCCTATTTGAAAGGCTTAGCCAAGTTTGATGTTTCTCCTTGAAAGTGGACACATTTGAATTTAAGTGGCCCCTAATCCATTATCAAGACACAATCTTTTACTAATCGAGTGTTTTACAAATACTCAGAGGGGTCCCTGTTCTTCCCTGGTGGTGTGTGCCTGGCGATCTGAACCCCTGGGGTGTCACTGTGCTCATCACAGGCGGCTGCCCCGCCGGACTCACTCCCCGCGTCTGGAAGCGCAGCAGAGCCCACGAGCGACCTCAGGCTTGCGCTGGGCTCGAGGAGTCTGGCACAATGTACCAGGCCCCAGGGGTTCCCGCCGTGGCTCCTGAGCTTTGGGTGCGTTTGTCATATTTGACTGTTGGTATCTTATTCATTCCATGGTTTTTGATTCACTAGAATTTTCCTGTTTGATGATTGTGTCAGTTGACTGGGAGGAAGATTTAGTAGTTGGATTATGGAGAAGTTCTGAATTTTAAAGAACTGTTGTTAAATTTGGTTTCTTTTTCTTTTTTAAATCATGTTTAGGTTTGTTCGGACGGTATTACCATTTTCTCAGGAATTTCAAAGAGATAAGCAGCCTAATGCACAACCCCAGTATCTGCATGGATCCAAGGTAGGCGCTTGTGGTGTTCCAAGTTTCAAGTTCATAATGAAGCATGTTTTCGAGTGTAGTTTAACTGGTTTGGTTGCAGTGACCTAAATATATCGGGCCATGTGTGTTGTTTTTTTCTTCCTTTCCATTAGCATTTTCCTGAAAAGTAGCGGTAATTTGAAACAAAAACCAGCCAACCAACCCAAAAAAGCCCTTCTCTGGAGCTAGGGCATACATGGTGTTGGGCCACCTTGGCCTCGTGATAGGTGTCAGGCTTGGACTCGCCTCATTCCCTGCACACACACCAGTGAGATTGTTAAAAGATTAAACGTTTACATGGAATATTACGCAGCCATCAAAAACGATGAGTTTGTGTCCTTTGTAGGGACATGGATGAACCTGGAAACCATCATTCTCAGCAAACTGACACAAGAACAGAAAATCAAACACCACATGCTCTCACGCATAGGCGGATGTTGAACAATGAGAACACATGGACACAGGGAGGGGAGCATCACACACTGGGGTCTGTTGGGGGGGAAATAGGGGAGGGAGAGTGGGGGGTGGGGAGTTGGGGAGAGATAGCAAGGGGAGAAATGCCAGATATAGGTGAAGGGGAGGAATGCAGGAAATCACACTGCCACATGTGTACCTATGCAACTATGCAATAAAAAGAAAGAAAGAGTAAAGGTTTAAAAACATCAAGCCCTGAGACAAGGACACCCAGGGCGGCTGCCAGGCCTGATGCGCCCTGATGGAAGAGCTGAGCTGGAAAGGTGAGCCCAGGGAAGGTCTGACATCCAGAAACAAGGATGTCAGCCTGCACCTGGAGGGCGGAAGCCCAGGACCGGTCTACCATGTGTGAGATGGGGCCGTGTCCACCCTGGGTGTGGCTGGGCTCGTCACAAGTCCGAATATTATTAAGGGCTAGTTTCTTTGTTTCAAGCACCCGCATGATTTAGTAAGGAAAATGTAAACACTGTAGCAGAGAAGAAAGATGAAATGAGCAGATAACCACAAAAATAGAGCAGAGCAAATACAAGTAGACCCCCCAGCGGCGGTGGAGCTGGGGAGGAGCAGTGGTGGCAAGATGGGGCAGGGGGCCCGGCTGCCCTGTGAGGAGTGAAGGCTTCTTCCCTGCTGCGGGTGGAGGTGTCCCCGATTCCGTAGTGGGGCCGGGCTGCCAGCGCTCATGGGTATTTAAGTGTCCTCGGTAGGAAGCAGGGACAGTCATCAGAATTGTCTGCCCCATCTGCGGAATGCCTGGAGCCAGGACGGGGAGGGCCCGGGCCCTTATGCCCGTACACGGCCTGCACCTGGGTGCCTTCTAAGGCAGCAGCTGGGTCTGAGTTGCAGAAATGATGCTCCCCACTCTTTCCTTTCTAACCCTCTGTTCTTCAGAGCAAGATCTTCTCACTCCAGTCCTCTGGGTGCCTTCCTTCGTACAGGGAGCTGCCTTGGACCTGGCAGGAGCACAAGCATTGGCACCTGGGAAGCAGCAAACACCAAACTGGGGCTTTGGTTTGTGGAGGGCCCGAGTCTCGGCATCACTGCCTCTCTGCCCCTGAAAAGAGCGAGTGTGGGCCGGGGGTGGCTTTCAGTGCAGTCAGAGCGTCCCCAAGCAGGAGAGAGGGCTCGTCTTCCCACTGTCCCTCAGCTGTGGGCAGTGGCATCACTACGGGATGTGAGGCTCTTCTTCAGGAAACACGGTGGCTCTGTAAAGATCATGACCTTGAAAATATGTTCTCTTTGAAATGGAGTCTCGCTTTGTCGCCTAGGATGGAGCGCAGTGGTGTGATCTCGGCTCACGGCAGCCTCCACCTCCTGGGTTCAAGGGATTCTCCTGCCCCAGCCTCCCGAGTACTTGGGATTACAGGCACCGTGCCCAGCTAATTTTTTGTCTTTAATTTTAGTAGTGATGGGGTTTTACCGTGTTGGCCAGGCTGGTCTTGAACCTGCCTCGTCTTCGCGAAGCGTTGGGACTACAGGTGTGAACCATTGGTGGCACCAGGACGGAAGTTGACTTTTATGCAATAATTAGTTATACTTAAAAGGATGTTTCTTTAAAGGATTCAGATAAGTGTTCTGATGCTTCTGCTTCTGACAGTAAAATGTAGTGTTTTACCTTTAGAGCATAAAGAGATTTTGTTGTTTTAGAAGATAGGACTAGAAAGTTGTGCGAGTAAGAATATTTTCTTGGGTCTCTGTGAACTGAAAGATTTGCTGTGGGCTTCCCTTCGCTTTGAAATTTTTAATCCCTGTTTTAGTCATAATGATAAATAAGTTCCTGTCACTCCCTGATAGAGAGGTGCTTGTGCACAGAGGGCATCAGGCAGAGAGGCTCCTTCCCCGCCCCCACCCAGAGAGGGAATCGGGCCACGGGCAGGCAGGCAGCCCGACCGTGTGGGGCCCTGCACCTGCAGCCCTGCCAGCTTGAGTCTTGGAAGGGGCCTCGTGGGGTTGGTTTTTGAGATCCCAGGATGGCACTGTGGTGACATCCTTGCTGCCCAGCGTGTCTGTGTGCCCTTTGTGGTGTTAAAGGATCTTGACACGTTTTTATTCTCTAGGATTTTCCTCCAGTAGGGCAGGGAGGCACTGTTACTTCCATTAAGACACAGACCCAAGCCCATATTCTGGGGCGGTGGTGCACATTTGCCTTGAGGTAGCCCCCACACCGTCAGAGCACCCTGCTCCCCTGTGTGCATGGCCACCCCCTCAGGGATGGCTCCAGGGAATGGGCACTTGGGGACATTTGCAAAGCTGATGCCCTTTTGGAGGGAAAGAAATAATTGATGATATGAATTTGGTTTTTTTTAATTCAACTATTTGTAACTGAATTTGAACCTCAATGTAAGAGATTTCTTCCTCCCTGTCAGAAACTATGTGTGTTGTTTTATTACAAACAAAAACAGTGAATTGTTTTTTTCCCAACAGAGTCTGTTACCCAGGCTGCAGTGCAGTGGTGTGATCTCGGCACACTGCAATCTCCGCTCCTCTGGTTCCAGTGATTCTTGTGCCTCAGCCTCCTGAGTAGCTGGGATTACAGGCATGCGCCACCACACCTGGCCAATTTTTGTATTTTTAGTACAGGTGGGGTTTCACCATGTTGGCCAGGCTGGTCTTGAACTCCTGACCTCAAGTGATCTGCATGCCTCAGCCTCCCAAAGGGCTAGGATTAAGGCATGAGCCACTGTGCCCGGCCATAAACCAGTATTTTTTTTTTTTTTTTGAGACAGGGTTTCCCTTTGTCACCCATGCTGGAATATAGTGGCACAATCACAGCTTAGTGAAACTTCTGCCTCCCAGACTTCAGCAGTCCTCCTGCCTCAGCCTCCCAAGTAGCTGGGACTACTGGCATGCACCACCAGGCCTGGCTAATTTTTGTATTTTTTTATAGGGATGGGTTTTTACCACGTTGCCCAGCCTGGTCTTGAACTCCTGAGCTCAAGCAGTTCTCCTGCCTTGGCCTCCCAAAGTGCTGGGACTACAGATGTGTGAGCCACCGTGGCCAGCCCTAAACCAGTAATTTTTTTTTTTTTTTTTTTTTTTTTTTTTTTTTTTTTGAGAAGGAGTCTTGCTCTGTCACCAGGCTGGAGTGCGGTGGCACAATTTCGGCTCACTGCAACCTCCGCCTCCTGGGTTCAAGCGATTCTTCCGCCTCAGCCTCCCGAGTAGCTGGGACCACAGGTGCGTGCCACCATGCCCAGCTAATTTTTTTGTATTTTTAATAGAGATGAGGTTTCACCGTGTTGGCTGGGATGGTTTCGATCTCTTGACCTCGTGATCCACCCGCCTCAGCCTCCCAAAGTGCTGGGATTACAGGCGTGAGCCACCGTGCCTGGCCATTTTTTTTTTAATTTTAAGACGGAGTCTCACTCTGTCCCCCAGGCCGGAGTGCAGTGGTGCAATCTTGGCTCACTGCAACCTCTGCTGCCCTTGTTCAAGTGATTCTCCTGCCTCTACTTCCTGAGTAGCTGGGATTATAGGTGCCTGTCACCACGCCTGGCTAATTTTGATAGTTTTAGTAGAGACAGGGTTTCACTATCTTGGCCAGACTGGTCTTGAACTCCTGACCCTCATGATCCACCCACCTCGGCCTCTCAAAGTGCTGGGATTACAGGCGTGAGCTACCGCACCCGGCAGTAATTTTCTATTAGGTTATTTAGACACATATAAGTGGCATTGATGTTGGCCACCCGCCTTATACATAGTGTATAACACTTTTCAGGGAACCCACTCAAAAAAAGGCTGGGCACTGAAACAGATGACGTCTGAGTTCAGTCGTGTGCTCACGGCAGACAGCCTCTGTACCTACAGGCATGCCACGCACGCCTGCTTCTGCTGCAGGACGAGTCACAGTGTTCATATCTGTGTGATTATGAAATACACAAGTGAGTGCTTTTTTTAATGAATACTGAACTAGGGCTAGTATCTTGCAGGAATAAAATCAACTTAGATGAGTGACCCATTTATGCAATGTTACCTTTTCGGTTCTTGGTCATCCCACCACGTGCAGCATGCCTACTCCAGTACTCTTTATCTCGCAAGATTATCCCCAATTCATAAGGCTCAGAGTGCCATGAAAATTAGAGAACCCCAGTTGCACGGCTGGCGAGTCCAGAGCCGGCTGCGTGTGGTGTGACCCACCTCCTCTGCCTTTAGAACGAGGCTGCAGCGTGGGCAGCAGAGTCTGTCTTGAACTGAGCTGTGTGGCTGGGTGTCCAGAGTGCTTCCTCTTCTGAGTTTGTCTTCCACAGCACAGCGTTTGAGACCGTGCCCCTCCTCCTCCTCCCACGGTGGTTAAGTCACATATGCTGTTTGTTACCCGAGCTGTGTTGTCTCTCTAATGTGTCACCTTTGGAGTGAGCTGCATCTACTGGGAAGACGCAGGGGACTGGAGGCCCAGGACCATGTGTTCACTGAGTGATGCCGCCTCTAAGGGCAGTGAGCCCGAGCCAGCCAGGGCAGGTCTGAGAATGAATTCTCCTCCTTGTAACATGAGGTCATTAGATTTCACTATTGAGTTTCATGTTCTTTTCAGGCATTGAACCTGTTCTCAAGCAAAAATATTACATAGAATCCCAGCACATAAAGCCCAGGGTGCTCCTCTAAGGAGAGGATGGAAGGAGGGTGTCTGGGCTGATGATCTGTAGATGGCTCCTTCAAGGTTACAAGAGACTGTGGGGCTTGGGCCTGGGACAGACACTGGGTGGGTTTCTGTCCTTCAGTGTTGTCCTATCTGGTCACTGTAGTATTTTATAATCAGTTTTCGCTCTTTCTTCTGGGAGGTGGTCTCATGACCCTCCACACATCTGATGATTCACTAGAAGGACTCATAGAACTCAGAGTCTCACAGCTTCAGTTTATTCCAGCAAAGGGGTACAAAGCGGGATCAGTAACGGAAGACAGATCAGAGTCTGAAGAAAACAGGAGTTGCTGTATTAATATCAGATAAAGTCAACTTCAGAGCAAAGAATATCGCAAGGGAGATTTCATAATAATAGTCAAACCACCACCAGGAACACATAGCAACGCTAAATGTTTATGCAGCAAACAACAAGGTGTCTATACTTGAACCAAACACTAATAGAAGTAAAAGGAGAAGTGAACAATTCCACAGTTACAGTTGGAGACTTCAACACTTCTTTTAGTAATTGACAGGACAAGTAGAATTAGCAGCAGTAGAAAAGAACTGACCACCACCATCTACCAACAAGATCTAATTCACGTGTAGAATACTGTACCCCATAACAGCAGAATATATACTTTTTCCAGATGCCCATGATGCAGTCACTAAGGTAGACCATACCTTGGGCCATAAAACTAACCTCAACAAATTTAAAGCACTGAAATCCTGTGGAGAGTGTTCTCTGACCACAGTGAATTCAAACCGGAAACCAGTAACAAAAAGATAAGAAAATCTCTGTATGCTTGGAAATGAGCCCACTTTTAAATAATCCTTGGGTCGAAGAGGAAGTCTCAAGGAAAATTTTAAAATACATTGAATTGAATGAAATGTAAACATACCAAGATTTGTGATATGCAGCTGAATAAATGCTGAGAGGGAAATTTATAGCATTGAATACTCACATAGGGGTCTCCTGCTGTCTGCACCAGTGTCCTTAGACAGGCTGAGTGGCGTCCTTCTGCAGGAGCCACCTTGATACGGTTTGGCTGTATATCGCCATCCAAATCTCATCTCAGATTGTAAGCCCCACATCCCCTATGTGTCAAGAGGGACCTGGTGGGAGGTGATTGGATCGTGGGGGTGGTTCCCTTGGGATGTTCTTGTGGTAGTGAGTTCTCGCAGGATCTGATGGTTTTATAAGGGGTTCTTCCCCCTTCGCACTGTCTTCTCATTCCTGCCACCAGGTGAAGAAGGTCCTTGCTTCCCCTTTGACTTCCACCATGATTGAAGTTTTCTGAGGCCTCCCCAGCCATGTGGAGCTATCAGTCAATTAAACCTCTTTCCATTATAAATTACCCAGTCTCGGTTATTTCTTTATAGCAGGGTGAAAATGGACTCATAGTAAATTGGTACTGGTAGAGTTGGGAACTGCTATAAAGATACCCAAAAATGTGGAAGCGACTTTGAAACCAGGTAACAGGCAGAGGTGGGAACAGTTTGGAGGGCTCCGAAGAAGACAGGAAGATGTGGGAAAGTTTGGAACTTTCTAGAGACTTGTTGAGTGGTTTTGACCAAGATGCTGATGGTGATATGGACAGTAAAGTCCAGGCTGAGGTGGTCTCAGATGGAGATGAGGAACTTGTTGGGAACTGGAGCAGCGGTCATTCTTAACTGTACCGTAGCAAACAGACTGGTGGCATTTTGCCCCACTCTAGAGATCTGTGGAACATTGAACTTGAAAGAGATGATCTGAAATTGGAGCTTATGTTTAAAAGAGAAGCAGAGTATAAAAGTTTGGAAAATTTGCAGCCTGGTGATGTGATAGGAAAGAAAAACTCTGGGGAAGAATTCAAGATGGCTGCAGAATTTTGAATGTCCATCACCAAGACAATGGGGAAAATTCTCCAGGGCATGTATGAGGCGGCCCCCTCCCATCATAGACCCAGAGGCCTAGGAGGGAAAAATGGTTTCCTGGCCTGGGCCCAGGGCCCCTGCATCCCAGTTGCTAAAAGGTGCCAACAATACAGCTCAGGTTGTTGCTTCACAGGGTGCAAGCCACAAGTCTTGGTGGCTTCCACATGGTGTTGGACCATCTAGATTTCGAAGAATATGTGGAAATGCGTAAATGTCCAGGCAGAAGTTTGATGCAAGGGTGGGGCCATCATGGAGAACCTCTGCTAGGCCAATACAGAAGGGAAATGTGGGGTCGGAGCCTTACACTGAGCATCCACTGGAGTACTGCCTAGTGGGGCTGTGAAAAGAGGGCCACCCTGTTCCAACCCCCAGTGAGCTTGCACCGTGCACCTGGAAAAACCGCATTCAACGTCAGCCATCCTGCAAAGCCATAAGGGTGGAACTGCCCAAGACCACAGGAGCTTACCTCTTATATTGTGACCTGGATGTGAGACATGGAGTCAAAGGAGATTATTTTGAAGCTTTAAGATTTAATGACTGCCCCACTGAATATCAGACTTGCATGGAGCCTCTATCCCCTTTGTTTTAGCCAATTTCTCCCATTTGCAATGGGAATATTTATCTAATGCCTGTACCCCTGTTGTATCTTGGAAGTAGCTAACTTGTTTTTGATTATACAGGCTCATAGGTGGAAGGGACTTAACTTGTCTCAGATGAGACTTTGGACTTGGACTTTTGGCTTAATGCTGGAATGAGTTAAGGCTTTGGGAGACTGTTGGGAAGGCAGGATTGTGTTTTGAAATGTGAAGACTGATGAGGGACTAGGGACCAGGGCAGAATGATGGATAAGGTCTGGCTGTGTCCCCACCCAAAACTGACCTCAAATTGTAATCCCCACTATCTCCACGTCAAGGGCAGGGCCTGGTGGGAGCTGATTGGCTCATGGTGGTGGTTTCCCATAAGCTGTGTTTGTGAGTGAGTTCTCATGAGATCTGATGGTTTTATAAGCGATTATTTTGCTCTCTCTTTCCTGCCTTCAACTTCTGCATAGTTGTAAGTTTCCTGAGGCCTCCCCATCCATATGGAACTGTGATTCAATTAAACCTGCTTTTTTAAAATAAATCTTGCAGTCTCGGGTATTTCTATATAGCAGTGTGAAAATGGACCAATATACATCCTAACTACCTTCCTCACCCTCCCACCTGACAGGGGCCTCTCTCCCAGCTCCAGGGCACCCTGTGCATTCTGAGAAGGTAGCTCCCCCGGCCCCTTCAGCGTCGGACCTCCGGCATCCTGCTGGGACACTGCGAGGCAGGGGAGACTCTGAGTTGTATTCATTTCTCATTGCAGACTTCAAAATGGCATCTAGCAAATTGGCAGTTAAACAAATGTTGAAACACCAAATGGTTTTGTTTTCTTTTTTTAGCAGGTTCCTTTTCGGTGGCAGGCTGAGTGGGTTTTGTAACTGTGTCAGTTAAGGGCAGTCGATTTTACAAGGCAGGAGACTTCACCTGAGCCACTGTGGTGACTGATCTTCCCACGATTCCTCATCAGCACGTGTGTGCAGCGACCATGCTGAGAGCTCTGTGCCCTGTCTTCCAGGCTTTGAACCTGGCCTACTCCAGCATTTACGGCAGCTACCGGCACTTTGTGGGGCCTCCGCATTTTCAAGTCATCTGCCGGCTCCTTGGCTACCAGGGTATTGCTGTGGTCATGGAGGAGCTGCTGAAGGTCGTCAAGAGCCTGGTGAGTGTCCCTAGACACCCATCCTTCACAGCCGGGATTCCCAGGGCATGCAAGCAAAGGGGTCTCCCCCGTCTGGACTGTGATTCTCCAACAGCTGGATTAATTCAGTTTGGTTTCAAACACCTGTAACCATATATAGTTTGATATCTGCCTCATCTTTGTGTCAAGAGAATGGGTCCAGGCTGTTTTAACTGATCCATAGAGCCTTTACTTGTATGCATAGAGATGCGGTCTTGCTATGTGGGCCATCTTGGCCAGCCTGAATTTAGTTTTCTGTACATAACATATTGGTCATTCACTGAGAGAGAACTTTTTATAGTCTTTATTTATTTATTGAGATGGAGTTTTGCTCTTGTTGCCTAGGCTGGAGTGCAGTGGCTCAATCTTGGCTCACTGCAACCTCCACCTCCTGGGTTCAAGCGATTCTCCTGCCTCAGCCTCCCGCGCAGCTGGGATAACAGGCATGCGCCACCACACCTGGCTAATGTTTTATTTTTAGTAGAGACATTTATTTTAGGGTTTGTCCATATTAGGCTGGTCTTGAACTCCCAACCTCAGGTGATCCACCCGCTTCGGCCTCCTAAAGTGCTAGGATTACAGGCATGAGCCAACGCGCCCAGCCCATCTTTTTTTATTATGTTAATAATCTTCTGTGCCTGAGACCGTGTGAGTTTGGTCATTTGGCACAGCCATCACCCCATGACCTAAACAGCTTCTTCCAGGACCCCCCACTGGGGACTCTGACCCAAAGCCTGTGGCAGCTTAGACCTCACCACAGCTGAGCATGGAGCTGCACCCAGGAGCACAGATGACTTCCTGGGGGAGCCTGCAACTGGCCGTGCTCACTCGTTCGGGGGCATCCCCGGGGGGGGGACACCTGGTGGCACCTCAGGGCCACTTCATCTTCAAAGGAGAGCCCTGTTTCAGAACATGGATCCAGCCATGGGAAGCCACCTGGTGATGGTTGCTCTCTTCGGGGCAGATTTCATTCCCCAGCCACGCGACCCTGCAGCCTGCTCACTGCCAAGCTCTTTGCTGACAGACATTTCGGGGCGTGAGCTCCGGTGCTAGCAGAGTGGGGTGGGGAGGCTGACGCAGCCTGTCTTGTCTCCCCCGCAGCTGCAGGGCACCATCCTGCAGTACGTGAAGACGCTGATGGAGGTGATGCCCAAGATCTGCCGCCTGCCCCGGCACGAGTATGGCTCTCCTGGTGAGTGCAGGCGCCTCTGGGCATGCGGAGCTCACAGTGCTGTCCGGGGAGAGGTCAGAAAGGAATTCAACTCAGAATGATTGAAAAGGATTAGAATTGCCGCGCGGGAGCAGGCAGTAGACAGACAAATGCACCTTACGACCAGAAAGGAGGTATACTGGGTCACTGTCTGCAGGTGGAGAGCTGAGGGGCCCAAGAGATTCACCCACAGGAGTTGAGACAATAGGGCCCTGAACACCACACACTCCTGTGGCCTGTGAAAGAAGTGGCCACCAGCTGAGGCCAGGGAACCAACTGCCGGGTCCTGCTTCCCTGCAGGGCCTATGGGGGCTTGAGCCTCAGAGACAGCCACATGCCTGCCCCCAGGCAGTCCCGTCCAGTTGCAGGTCCTGCTGTGTGGCCCTCAGGCAGGTGTGTTCTTAGGGACAGGCCCGCATGACTTGTGGGCTGGTGGGCTGGTTTGGGGCTATGCAGATAAACAGCTTTAGTGATCTCAAAAAGCATTGTCTTACGGTAAAATTGTATGGCAGGGACCTTTGTCACATAACAAACTGCTTTTAGTCTCTTATCTGGCAGAGTTTTCTTGAAAGCTGGACAGTTGAACACTAGCCTTGTCTTGTAAAGTGACTTGAGTGTGCATGTGGGTGACCAACGAGACACTGTCTTGATGGGCAGTCCATCAGCCTGGCTGAGTCCTTGAACACTGCCCAGGACGTTTTGCTTTCTGGCACCTGCCCAGGGCTATGGCTGGTGTTTGAGGAGAAGATAAGGTGTCTCCCTCAGCCCCCGTGGGGAAGTGACCATGAGCACGTGGGGAACCCCTCAGTCCCTTTGAGGAAGTGACCATCGGCGCATGGGGAACCTCTCAGCACCCTGGGGAAGTGACCATCAGCATGACCCTGGCTCAGGAGAATCCAATTCTAGTTGATTTTAAGAAAGTAGATGAGGAGCTGGGATGCTCAAACCAATGCTTGTGTCATGACTGGAGGTGAAAATTTCAGATGTTGAGGGGAAGCCGTCCTGGCCCAGTGTGGCACAGGGAAAGCTTGCTGGGGATGACAGGTGCCAAAGCATCCCCGCCCCCGCCAAGAGGTGCCGAGAGCTGGGAGGAGTGGGGGTGGGGACGGTGTCTGCAGGGCAGGAGGGGCCGGGTCAGGCCTGGTCCCTGGGGAACAGGCACTCGGGGGAGACCTGCTGGGACCAGGGTCCAGGTCTGCTGAGCCTCCCACTTGGCTTTTCCCAGGGTAGCTTCACCCCTCCTGATGCCATGTGCATTGTAGAGTCAGCACCGGTTTCTGACTGGGCTGGAGTTGAAGCTGTAGATCGGCTGGGGGATGTTGGCCTTCTGTCCTGCATTTGCGCCTTACGTCTTTTTGTGCCTCATTCCACTGCCCGGGACGCAGCCGAGACGCCTGCCTTGCTCCGGAGCCGGCACAGGGTGCAGCCTCCCACTGGGCGTGCTGTTAGTTAGCTGCAGGCTTCCTAGATGCCCTTTCTCAGATTAGGTCCAGCCCCTTCCATGCCTGAGAAGAGGGACTGAATTTTGTCAAATACCTTGTCTGCCCCCACTGGGGATGATGGTGCAGTCTTTCTTCTTGTGATGTGGTGACGTTTCGTATCATCATAGCCTTCTCTAAAGATAGGGGGTTGACTGGAAAAGAGGCCTCAGGGCCGAGGCCCAGGGCTGCAAGGTGTGTGGAGGACATGCCCAAGTGCCAAATGAACCACTGCTGCAGGGAAGATGCTGCGCATGCCACGTTGTGGCCGCCCTTAGAACCGGGCTTGACGGCAGGGCCAGAACAGCAGGTGCGCCCAGCTGTGGACCAGGCTGCTAGGTCCTGGTCCCGCCGCCCCCCAACCCCGCCTTACTTCCACCACCATAGGTATCCTGGAGTTCTTCCACCACCAGCTGAAGGACATCGTGGAGTATGCAGAGCTGAAGACGGTGTGCTTCCAGAACCTGCGGGAGGTGGGGAACGCCGTCCTCTTCTGCCTGCTCATCGAGCAGAGCCTGGTGAGTGCCCATCCGGCCTGGCCCACCCCACTGGCCACCGGGGGGCTTCCTTTGGTGGGTTCTTTAGTGGGGGTGTGGCGGCAGCAGTGTGGTAAAGCATCATTCTTCTTCATGACCATTGAGACTTTAGTTTGAATTTGTTCCCTACAATTGAAAAACAGAAATGTACTGTAGTTCATTGTCTCAAGAATGTTGTTCTGTGTGAACGTAATAAAACGATTTTATTATGTGATGTTTTCAACATCTAAATGAACACATTAGGCGTGCCAGTGAGGTCTAAAGCATGGCTGCCTAGGAGGGCTCTCTGCGTGCCTGAGGCCACCGAGCAGTGGAGTGCGGCTCCGTGTGACTGAGGAACTGAGTGCTAAATGTTACTGAATTGCAACTGATTTACATCTGCGCAGCTACATGTACCCCATGGCGGACAGCGCAAGGGGCCCCCCGGGAGCCCACCCCCTTAGGGTGTGGCACGGTGGACACCTTGCTTCCTTGACTTCTTGTGGTGCCATCTGGCTGTCCCTGTCCTGTACATCAGAGCAGCTCAGTGTCCGACCTCCTGGACTGGGAAATGGAATCTCACTGGCCCTCTCCTGCCTCCCCTCGTGACTAGCGAGGTGGGCGTCTCTGTTCACTCATTGCGTTCTTTTTCTGTGAAACGCCCTCTTGGGTTCTGGTGCCTGTTTTTCTACAGCTCACTCTGTGTAGAGGCTTTATGTGCTGCTCACATTGCAAATTCTTCTCCCATTTGTGCCTTATCCTTTTACTGACAGTGGTGATTTTTGATAAAGTGCTCTTAATTTGAATGTAGCCTTTTTTTTTTAAATGATTAGCACTTTCAGTATCTTTATTTTTTAATCTACCATGTTTACACAGAACTTGTAGTATCTTTTTAAAACTGTTTTCCCTGCCTTGGGATCAGATTTTGAGCTCTGCCTTCTGCATGGAAGTTTATAATCCTTCTGGAGTTGGCCTTTGTGTGTGCTGTGAGATGCGGAGGAAGCGTGCGTCTTTCTCAGTGGGGACCCTGTTGTCCCTCCTCTAGGGGCTAAAGGGCTCCTCCTCCCCTGCCGCCTGCCCGCTTTTCGTGGGCACACTGCCCTGTCTCCCGGCTTCCTGCCGCACCAGCTGGTCCAGGGGTCTGTCTCTGAATCACAGCATGTCGTCTTGTTCATTGTTTCTGGCAAGACTGGATTCCCACCTCGGCGTGTTCCCAGCCTGGCTCCTCTTCATCAGCATGTTCCTCCCCAGGGCTCTTTGCTCTGCCATTTTCGGATTGGTTTGCCACACGCCCTGGCGAAGCGTACTGGCTTGTGCATAGGAACTGCACTGCGTCTCCAGAGCTGCCTGGGGAGACCTTTCCTGTGTTGTTTCTCAAAGCAGTCTCTTGTCTTCAGGTCACCGGTAGCTTTGCAAAGGCAGAGTTGTATTTGGGAAGAACAGGGACAGACTGCTGTCTGGGCCTCTGGGGACTGAGCCTGTGGACCATCCGCCTCACACCTGCCTGTGAGCCAGTAAAAGAGTGCGTTGGCTCACATGTCAGGGGAGTTCCAGGTCAGGCCTGACGCATCTGGGAGCCGACCGCCTCCATTGCCCCATATCCTCGCACTCCTAAGCAGACCCCTAAATGGTTTCAAAGAGGGACTGAGGCAGCCTCAGGCCCTAATTGTCCCGGCCACCCACAGGCTTGGTGGGGCCCCAGGTGAGCGTCCCCTCCCATGCTGCCCTCCCCACTGCGAGTGTGAGGGGCACAACATGGAGAACCCACCTGTGTTCAGGCTAGCAAGAAGCCAGTGTCCAGGGTGGCCCCGCTCTAAAGACATATTCCCCAAATAATTGTGAATTTTTAAAAGCCAGAGATGTTAGGAAGCATCCATTTAAATGTAATCTCTCGCTATGAATTTTAAATATTTAATGTAGGAATATTCCCTTCATGGGTGGCGTTTCCTGAGGCCTCTCCTGCCTTCCCTCCTGACTAGCAAGCTGGGCGTACAGCAGGTGTACCCCGTCTCATCTGCTGTCTTAGTCCGTCTTGTGTTGCTGTAGCCGTGCCTGAGACTGAGTAATTTACAAAGAAAAGGAGTTTATTTGACTCATGACTCTGGAGGCTGGGAAGTCCAAGATCAGACAGCTCATCTGTCAGGGCCTCATGCTGCTTCAGCTGCTGGGAAGGCAGAAAGGGAGGTGGGGGTATGCAAAGCCAACAAATGTGAAAGGCAACCTTGTTTCCAACAAGCTGCTCTCACAGGAACTCACCCATTCCGGCAAGAACTAATCCAGCAGTGGGAGAATGAACCCAGTCTTGTAAGAAATCCGTCACTTCTCAGACTGACCACCTTCCAACACTCTGCTACATTGGCAATTAAGTCTCACCATGAATTCTGGCAGGAACAGACAACATCCAAACCACAGCCTCTGTGGATGTCCAAGCCTGAGGATGGCTGTCTGGTCACTGGCCTCAGGTTGGCCAGGTGAGACCCAGGCTTTCCTAAAGGAGAGACAGCATGTGGCACTGATTTAGATAGTGGCAAGGACCCATTACAGCTGGTTTCTTTTCTGTCCAGCTGTCCTTTCTGGAAATAAGATAAACTCACAACTTTCTTTTTTTTTCTTTTTTTTTTTTTTTTTTTGAGACGGAGTTTCACTCATGTTACCCAGGCTGGAGTGCAATGGCGTGATCTCGGCTCACCGCAACCTCTGCCTCCTGGGTTCAGGCAATTCTCCTGCCTCAGCCTCCTGAGTAGCTGGGATTACAGGCACACACCACAATGCCCAGCTAATTTTTTGTATTTTTAGTAGAGACAGGGTTTCACCATGTTGACCAGGATGGTCTCGATCTCTTGACCTCGTGATCCACCCGCCTCGGCCTCCCAAAGTGCTGGGATTACAGGCTTGAGCCACCGCGCCCAGCCTGCAACTTTCTTTACCTACAAAATGAATGTCAGGGAGTCCTTGGATGGACATTAAATAATTACAGAACCACACGTTTGGAGCAGGCAGGACGGAATTCACTGGGACAGTCTCTTAGCTCAGACAGTTCCTGAGCGTTGTCACGGCAGCAGCTGGCCCTCTGTTGGCTTCTGGATGGAGTCTGATGCTGCATTAGCAGCTTAGGGAAAGACGCGGAGCAGACGGCGTCTGGCCGGCTGCTGGCACTGGATTGACATTGATGAGTATGGAAAAGTCTGCTTTTCTTCCTCTTGGTTTTAGTTTTGCCATCATCTCTGGGAGGTCCTCAGAAGTTAAAATCTCATGTCAGCATTTCTTCCGTTTTCTAATAGCTGTTTCTTTGTTTAATTATTTTACTCCTGTGGAACCTCAAGATTTCAGCATGGCTGTAGCGTAGGAGGCACTGAAGGCCCCATCATCTTCTGTCTGCTCTGTGGGGTGTTTGTGCGCACTGTGGTGGCCTGAGAGCCCTCTCCTCTAAAGATGAACAGCAGTTGAACTATTTTTTAGCGTCTTTGGGTCCATGGTCGATTTTTGGGGTTCTGCCATCCCCGTGATCCTGGAGGTGCATTTTCTCTACATACGCATTACCCTGGAGAATGGGCCTCACGTGGGGTTTTTATTACCTCGTAAAGGAGTTTGTGACCCATTAGTAGGTTCAGCATGACGACCCACAACTTTATTTTGAGCTCTGTGGAGAATGAGTGGGCGTGGACACCGGGGTGGGCCTCCCTGTTCCTCCCACCTCCCTTGTTTGAAGATGCCCTTGCCTTCTGTCAGTGCTGTGGGGTCTCATCATACCCTGTGTTTCTTAAGAGCCTGGTGGCAAATTTAGCAGGGAAGGATGGGGAGAGAGCTGCCAAACTGGTAAAGCCTGGAAAAGAGCCACATTCAACACTGGGTCTTACCTGTGTCTATATTTAAATTAATTAAATGTAACTAAAATTAAAAATTCAGTTCCTCAAGTGCACAAGCCACAGTCCAAGTACTTACTAGCCGTACATGGCCTGGTGGCTGTCACTGTGGAAGGACAGACAGAAGCATTTCCATTATCACAAAGAAGAGTTTATTCATGTAAAAGGCAAAGAGGCTCTTTGTTTTCAGCACCAGCTCTCTCTCTGTCTCCCTAGTGTGCCCTTCTCTTTCTCTGCTCTAGTCTTTAGAAGAAGTCTGCGACCTCCTGCATGCGGCTCCCTTCCAGAATATCTTGCCGCGAGTCCATGTGAAAGGTGAGCCTGCGGACTCCCCCTCCCCGCCCCCCAGCTGTCCAGACTGCCATCTGTGGGAGTGGTACCTACCTCTGTGCAGCCAGAGAACTAAGGGCCAGTGCAGATTGAGGGTTTGGTGCCTGTTTAATCATATGCAGGGGTAATGAGGAGTGTACAGAACCTAGTTACGTGAAGTCTGAGAAATAGGGCTGCAATGATCCGACGACGTCTTAGAATTGCTTCCAAGTATTAATCGCAGGGGGAGATGGGTATATAGGAAGCAAAGAGTGGCCATGAGTTAATTGCTGTGGTGGATCATCGGGGCTCACTGTGCCATTTTCAGCTTTTGATTACATTTGAAATAGTAAGTGAAAGATGAATATTGAGCAGATAATCAGTCCTGCCAGTTTGAAATAAAATGTTAACTGAGCCAAGTTCCTAAGATAATTTTTAAAGAAAATGTGTATACATAATGTTAACTGTAAAATCTTTTGTTTTTTAAACAAATTTAAACTTTTGCAATTACCCTTTCATACAAAGGAGCAGAATATAGTAAAGTATTTTTTCCACTGCAGAGGGGGAGAGACTTGATGCCAAAATGAAGAGACTAGAGTCAAAGTACGCCCCGCTGCATCTTGTCCCACTGATCGAAAGACTGGGGACCCCTCAGGTAATGTGTGCTGTGGCGGCTGTGGCTGTTGCCAGCTGGGCATCCACGTCAGGCCAGGCAGCCCGATTGGGAGCCAGAATGAAAGGCATCGTGAAATCCAGTGTCGCAAGTTGGGTGTGCACCCGGACTGCCTCCCAGGGTGGTCGGGGACTTAAAGTGAGCTAACGCTGGGAAAGGGCTTAGCACATCACCTGGCACGTAAGACTCTTATAGATGTCACTTGTTAGTGTCCAGCCCGTCATGAAGAAGGCTTTTCCACAGGTGTTTAAGAACGGAAGAAATGAGGCAAGGTGTCAGGGCAGAGCTCCACAGTGAGCCAGCAGCTTATGCTAAGTAAGGGTTTCTCAGCCATTTGGGACCAGGTAACTCTTTTATGGTGGGGGCTGGGTTGTCCTGTGCATGGTAGATGTTTAGCAGCATCCCTGGCCTCCACATTAGATGCCAGCAAACCTACCCCACCCAAAACATGCTTCCAGGGCCAGGAGCCATGGTTTATTCCTGTCATCCCAGCACTTTGGGAGGCCAAGACAGGAGTTCGAGACCAGTCTGGACAACATGGCAAAACCCTGTCTCTACAAAAAATATAAATATTATCCAGGTGTGGCGGCATGCATCTGTCCTCTCAGTCCCTGGGAGGGCTGAGGCAGGAGGGTCGCTTGAGCCTGGGACGTCAAGGCTGCAGTGAGGTATGATTATGCCACTGCACCCCAGCCTGACCAGCAGAGCGAAATCCTGTCTCCAAAAAACATACAGGACGTGGAGTAGCTGAATGCCTGCAGGGCCCACAGCATTACGCTTGTTCCTCCTGCAGCAAATTGCCATCGCGAGAGAGGGGGACCTGCTGACCAAGGAGCGCCTGTGCTGCGGCCTGTCCATGTTTGAGGTCATCCTGACGCGGATCCGGAGCTTTCTGGATGACCCGATCTGGCGCGGGCCTCTGCCCAGCAATGGGGTCATGCATGTGGATGAGTGTGTGGAGTTCCACAGGCTGTGGAGTGCCATGCAGTTTGTGTACTGCATTCCCGTAGGGACACACGAGTTCACAGTCGAGTAAGTGTGTGCTCAGAGCAGGATGGAGCCCACAGCAGGGCAGGGTGTTAGGCCAGCCGTGCTCCTGGGGAAGTGACCAGAAGGTCACTGTTCAGCCTTCTCAGCGGGGATTCTTCCTTGATGCTGAAGAGCTGACTCAGGACTCTAGTATTCTGGGAGTCTCTGAACCACAGCAATTGTATACGAGTTGGACGTGCATTTTTCTAGGTGGGAGGTCTGTAAGTCATTCACCACAGAGGGGATATGACTTAAAAAGCATTAGGAAGTAGCACACCGGAAGAGCCCAAAAAAGGTATTTACCAAAATGAGGCAACAGCCAGCTGCTGCGTGGCACAGACAGTAATGCAGATGGCTTGCTCACTGCCATCTGGAGACAGAGAAGACTTGGTAACATGTCACTCACCTCCCATTGTGTTTCTGCTTGTTTCTAGGCAGTGCTTTGGTGATGGGCTACACTGGGCTGGCTGTATGATCATCGTACTTCTTGGGCAGCAGCGGCGTTTTGCTGTGCTGGATTTCTGCTACCATCTACTTAAAGTCCAGAAACATGATGGCAAAGACGAGATTATTAAAAATGTGGTATGTGGATGAAAATCTCCTGCTATCTATGTTACATGTTCTTGTTTCGGTGAATGTTTTTTGACCTAGTACCTAAGGTACCACCAACAGAAACGTTCTTTTCATTCCCAAAATGAATCTAGATATAATTGGCCAGTAAAGCATATTCTGGCAGAGAAAATCCTCACTGTTCCATTTTCCTTCTCAAGGTACTTAAGATTTACTTCAACTGTTACAGGATCTGCATTTACAGAACTTTGGCAACTATTCCAGTCTTCAGGCTCCCTAGAATTCAAAAGTGTGTTTTTTGGCTGCTTTAAAGGCCTTTTGTCTTTGTCATTTTATGGATTCCTCATAGCTGAATTCTGGAAAATACTCAGCTTCCCTTCCATTCTCCCTATTCTTGCCATTCAGGACTTCAGTTAGACATGTATTAGACCTTCTCATTCTATTCTTCACATCCCTCTGTTGAATTAGTTGTTTTGTTTTGTTTTAGACAAGAGTTTTGCTCTTGTTGCCCAGGCTGGAGTGCAGTGGCCCAATCTCGGCTCACTGCAACCTCCGCCTCCCGGGTTCAAGTCATTCTCCTGCCTCAGCCTCCCATGTAGCTGGGATTACAGGTGCCCGCCACCACGCCTGGCTAATTTCTGCATTTTTAGTAGAGATGGGGTTTCACCATGTTGGCCAGGCTGATCTCGAACCCCTGACCTGAGGTGATCCACCCACCTTGGCCTCCCAAAATGCTGGGATTACAGGTGTGAGCCACCGCACCCAGCCCTGTTGAATTAGTTTTCTGTTGCTTCCATAACATCAGTTGCCACAGGCTTGGCAGTTTAAACACCACTGATGATCTCACAGATCTCTAAGTCAGATGCCGGGGTACAGCCGGGCTCAGCTAGGTCGTCTGCTTGGTCTCATGAAGTCAAAATCAATGTGTCCAAGGTGTCGTGTTCACCCCGGAGGCCTTCAGGCTTAGGCACAGCTTGCAGCTGTAGGACTGGGTCACCCTTCCTTCTCATGCTTTCCAGGTGGCTCCCTCCAGCAACAGTGGATGGGGCAGCCTCAGCTTCTAGTCTTCTGCTGCTAGCCAGAGAACATTCCTGACATGATACTGAGAGGACAACCCAGATACTCTCCCTGTCTAACAGTCCAGGTTTAACCACACCCACCCAGGCTCCGTGCAGCAGAGGGCGGCGCAGTCACAGGCTCCAGGTCGTGGGCCTCTCCCACACCATTTCCATGGCTCCCAGAGCTGTATCCAGAGTACTGTCTTCACGTCTTAGTTAACTCTCCTCAGCTCTTCAAATCTTGGTGGTAACTGACAGTTTTATTGTCTTAACTGAATTTTTTCCTTCTCTTCTTTATCCAGTTCATGTATTCTATATTCTGTATCTTTTCATTCTAATATCTGAAGGCCTTGGTGGTGTTTAAAACTGCCCTTTCCTTGCGTGTTGGGTTACTGGGGGGTCTTTATCTAATTGGACTTAATTTAGATTGCTTTCCTCCGGAGACGCGCACTTGCAGCTGCCCATCCACTCAGGGCACTGGCTGCCCCCTTACCACCTGCCATGGGCAGAACCAGCAGTGCTTTTCGAAGTTTTTGGTTTGCGCGGATGTTGTTTATTCACATTCTCTATTGCTGTTGTAGCAGGAGGGTCTGTCAAAGCATCCTATCAGTATTTCCACACTGGAAGTCTAAAACTTGTCTTAGTTGATGGGCCTTTGTCCACTGACATCATCATCTTCATCTGTAGATCCCCAGCTTTGTGCACACAGTAGATTCTTAATTGCTGATGTGGAAGGAATAAGCCTGTAAGTTGTGCATATGAATGAATCTACAGCAGTAGGAAACCAACAGAGGAATTCTAAATTCAAAATATATTCATTGTTCCAACTGCAGCATTAAAGAGATGGGATGTGGCTGGGAGTGGTGGCTCATAAGTACAGTCCCAACAGTTTGGGAGGCTGAGGAGGAGGAGGATTGCTTGAGGTCAGGAGTTCAAGACCATCCTGGGCAACAAAATTTTTCGTCTCTACAAAAAATTTTTTAATTAGCTGCATGTGGTGGTACATGCCTGTGATCCCAGCTACTCAGGAGATCTAAGTAAGTCCAGGAGGGTGAGGCTACAGTGGGCGCTGATCATGCCACTGCATGCCAGCTGAGGCATCAGAGTGACACCCTATCTATCTTAAAAAAAAAAAAGCAAGTATGTGTGTCAATTCCGTTTGCTATTATTTTTCTGAGAAAAGATAAGAATCCTAACATTGTGAAACATGAAGAATAAATAAATGTTCAGGTGTTAATAGTAAAACATCCTAATATTCATGGTTGTAGCCTTTGAAGAAGATGGTGGAGCGAATTCGCAAGTTCCAGATTCTCAATGACGAGATCATCACCATCCTGGATAAGTACCTGAAGTCAGGCGACGGGGAGAGCACACCAGTGGAGCACGTGCGCTGCTTCCAGCCGCCCATCCACCAGTCCTTGGCCAGCAGCTGAGGGCGCGGGCTGCACTCCCGTAACTCAGCGTGGCATGCTTCTCTGTCGGTATTTAGTGAGATTTTTAGGGACTATTTTTCAGTATCTCTGTGCCTGTCAAAGGGGGTGCTTTTCATCTAAAAGCTTAATTTTATAAAACTGACTTATTTTTCTAGTCTAAAATTGTATATGCTTTTGTTAATTAGGAACTCGGAGCATGCTGGCTGTTGTTGATTGTTGCCATCACATTCTTACAAAATTACTGTTTTTCTATGGGATGTTCTGGCAGCCAGCTATGGTTCATTCCGTAAGAAACTTAATACCAGCAAATGTATTAAATCCCTTACTAGTTCCCATTAAATGTACCTACTTAGCTTTTGTGTAAGGATCCTTCTCACAGCCTTTTATGAACAATCTTAGTTCTAAGTCATTGTTTCCATCCCTTTTTTGTATCAATGTTTCAGAAAATAGTGAACTTGATTCCCCTGCTTCCATTCCACTAAATCCAGTTGTGACAAAATCTAACATGAGATCAGACCAAAAGGATATAGAAATAAAACTAATGAGGTCTGTCTGTGTTCGTTCTTTCACTACAGCTCTGTGCTGCTTGGCTTGGCAAGGAACTCATTATGATCTGAGCTCGCACAACAGGCCCGGCTCAGACCTACAGCTTTATATTTAGGATTCCGCAGGCAAATGAGGTATAAAACGGCCCCGTGGGCTGTTCCAATCTGGACATGAAGAGGCTACTCAGTGCCTGTTACCTGTGCCCACGAGCTGGAGGAGGCCTGCACTGTTGGAGGAGATGAGCCGGGGACAGTGGGTGCTCCAGAAAGGGGCCGGGGGGCACTTCAGTCCAGCCTTCATCTGTCCCCCTCTTTACACAGGGCTCACGTGGCTGAAGCTGGTCCACGTGACCTGTCAGAATAAAAGGTAATCAGTCTAGACTACCCGTAGTATCATCAACATGTTTTAGAATTGAGAAACTAAAGCCAAACTTTAAAGTATTATTAAGGCAATGAGGTTCTAAAAAAGCCTAACTGGAAAAAAAAAATGCTACGCCTGTCTATTGTAAACAAATACTACAGAGAAACACGAGGCCAGCGTGACTAACTGAACTCACTTTATGGCGTAACCTGGCAGTCGTTCTATATTATTTGGAGTATTGCAACTTTCTCAGTTCTAACATTTTCTATGGATGCCACGTTGCCATAAAAAGTGGGCCTCGCCTACTTGACTTTTCCATAGGCCTTTGGAAACTCCAGAAGCATCACACACGGCACAGAAAAGAAAGTGAACCATCCTGCTGTACTGCCAAACCTGAGTGACAAGAAGCTTAACACAACTCTCTTTCCTTATAAAAAGTTCCCTAAAAATGCTTTTGGTAATGTAAATAACCCTGGAGCCAGCATTTCTGCTGCAGATTTAGAGGTGCTAGCTGTGCTTATCTTAGAAAGTATACAATAAGATGAAAAGAAAACCCATCTCACGTGCAAAGACACACAAAGGCTCAAAATAAAGGGACGGAGGAACACTTACCAAGCAATTGGAGAGCAAATAAAAGCAGGGTTGCAATCCTAGTCTACGATAAAACAGACTTTAAACCAACAAAGATCAAGAGACAAAGAAGGGCATTACATAATGATAAGAGGATCAATGCAACAGTAAGAGTTAACTATCCTAAATATGTACCCAATACAGGAGCACACAGACACATAAAGCAAGTTCTTACAAAGAGACTTAGACTCTGGCACAATAACTGTGGGAGACTTTTAACACTCCACTGTCAATATTAGATCAATGAGACAGAAAATTAAGGATATCCAGGACTTGAACTCAGATCTGGACCAAGCAGACCTAATGGCCATCTAGAGAACTCTCCACCCCAAAACCACAGAATATACAGTCTTCTCAGCACATGGCACTTACTCTAAAACTGACTACATAAGTGGCAGTAAATCACTCCTCAGCAAATCCGAAAGAACAGAAATCATAACAGTCTCTCAGACCACGGTGTAACCAAATTAGAACTCAGAATTAAGAAACTCACTCAAAACCACATTATTACATGGAAACTGAACAACCTGCTCCTCAATGACTACTGAATAAATAATGAAGGCAGAAATAAAGATGTTCTTCGAAACCAATGAGAACGAAGACACAACATACCAGACTCTCTGGGACGCATTTAAAGCAGTGTCTAGAGGGAAATGTGTAGCACTAAATGCCACCGGAGAAGCAAGGTAAGATAAAAAATCAACGTCACAATTAAAAGCACTAGAGGAGGCTGCAGTGGCTTATATCTGTAATCGCACCACTTTGGGAGGCTGCGGCGGACGGATCACCAGGTCAGGAGTGGAGACCAGTGTGGCCAACATGGTAAAATGCTGTCTCTACTAAAAATGCAAAAAAAAGTTGGCTAGGCGTAGTGGCACGTGCCTGTAATCCCAGCTACTTGGGAGACTGCGGCAGGAGAACTGCTTGAACCCGGGAGGCAGAGGTCACAGTGAGTCAAGATTGTGCCACTGCACTCCAGCCTGGGTGACAGCAAGACTCCATCTC